AAATAACGGGGGGGGGGGGTGGGGGGGGGTGACGAACAACTTGTGTACGTTGATACAGCAGGAGTAGGAGCCGTTTATTGCAGGACAGGAGCAGTATTTATACATTCCACATAGCTTATCTAATTAGCATAAACTAGATACATCAGTCAACCAATAAGGAATCTCCACACTTAATGGCTCGCTTTTGTTACTTCTCAAACCACTCCTTCTGGCATTTTGCCAGGCACCATCCAGACTTGTTTACGAACTCTAACATTCCCCTGGCAAAATGCCAGGTGTTATTTTGACTTATTTACAGACTCTAACAAGTTACACAGGGAAAGCTATGGAGGAGGGATGTGGAACTTTTCAGGACCTCTCTATCCACACCACCCTCCAGTACCTTGATATGGTCACCAATTTGGAAGTTATTCCAATCTCATTGTTCATGGATTGTTATTACCCAATCTCCATGTTCCACCCCCACCCCACCTGGAGGGCAGTGGGTAGAGCTGAAAGTTCCAACCTAATCACTTGTTCATGCTGGTAACCAAACTTGAGGCTTTGGAGGGGCTCTACCCTAAGTTATCTCATGAGTATAAACTCAGGTGTGATCAAAGGGGCTCATTATGAATAACAAAAGACCCTCCTAGCACTCTTAAAATTCCAAGGGTTTTAGGAGCTCTGTGTTAGAAACTAGAAACAAAGACCAAATATATTTCCTATTATAACCACAGGTTCATAGTACTTTTTATTATAGCCAATCATCCTAAGATGCTCAGTGACAGAGCCACAAAATAAGTTTTAAATTAGCCAGTTCCAGCATAAGCCATACCTCACCATGGAAGCCTTCCTGAGGTAGTCTATAAGGAGACCAGTCTTTCGCTCTTTCCTCAGGAACCCAGGGAGCAAGTGAATAAGAAAATCTGCTTCTGAACAATAACTGTCCAGGGAGATGTGTGTGATTCCCATCCCCTTGCCCTTAGATCTTCATCACTTTGAATAATCTCTCACCTTGCCATTCAACAGACCATTGGGGCCCAAGACCTTTTCGAAAATGTGATTTCCCACATGCGCATCCACAGCTGACAGGGGGTCATCTAGAATATAGATGTCTGCATTTTGGTAAGTAGCTCTGGCCAGGCTAACTCTCTGCTTCTGACCGCCACTGAGATTTATACCCTGAAGAAAAGAAAAAGAAGAAAGTTTTAAAATAATAATTTCTGAAGAAGAAAACAATTTCTATTAAGTATTATTCCCAGTCCCAACTTCACAGAGTCTAATAAGGAGGGGTAAAAGGAAGAAATTTGCCTCAAGAAAATATTACGAGCATAAAAATCTTATGCTTCTTTATACAAATAAATAACTTGGATGCAAATAACTTTCAGTCCAATAGTTAAAGGCATGCACAATTTACATTTTCTATCAGATAATTTACTTATTTAATATTTTGTTGCTTTCCCAACCCCATGAGAATCTAGAGCTACACCAGGGCAGATGTTTTCTCTATTTTGTTCCTGGATACAATCCCAGCACTTAAAATAGTGCCTTTCACATAGTTGCTTAATAAATGTATGCTGAATTAATAAGCAAAATCACTCAAGAGCTGTTACTAGTCTTCTAGCACCTCAAGATCCTTGCCCTCCCAATCCACCCCACCCCACCAAAGATTCATTTTCAGTAATAAAAGAATGGATGAAAACATTTTAAATATATAGAATAAAAAATTTATAAATAAATTAATGCTATGCTTGTATAGTTACTTAAAAATATAATTTTTTATTTAAAATCTATTTTTATAAAAAGATATTTAATAGCATGAGGCATTTAATAATACAGGTAAATCTAGGGCCAGTCATTGTTAACTTAGCCTCTCAGTCCTTTGATTCATCACCTTTTATTTAGGTTATGTAATTCCAATATTTGCTTCTAAGTAAAAAGTTTAAAAATTCTGACTTATTACACAAAATTTTGTGGCCAGATAATACAAACACATTTTCTGGTGTTTGTTCCAAACACGACTAGCAATATTGATCAACTATGTTACTCTATGTACTTTGCCATCATCCTCATTTTTTTTTCTTTAATATCTTGTTGTCCCAAGTACCTTCTCTCCGATCTCAGCTAGGTCTCCTCCAGGCAATATTTCCAAGTCTGGGAGGAGAGCACAGGCTTCCAGAACTTGCTTGTACCTCTTTTCATTGAACTCTGACCCAAAAAGGATGTTGTCCTTTATGGTGCCATTCTGAATCCAGGACTGCTGAGGGACATAGGCTGTGGTGCCCTAGACAGGAAAGGATCAGACCATGTGAAAGTTGTACCTCCAGAAATGCAGGGTTGAAGGATGAGATGGGCAGAAGTGGGAGGAACAAATAGAAGTTAGACTTGAAGAACTATGTGTCAGGCTGCTTGAGCATCTGATATTTATGAATGTGCTTATATTTATTGAACCGACCAGGGAGAAAGATTCAATTCATCATTAAGCCTCCTCTTTTTAGACTATCATTTTTCTTGTCACAAACCTGAAAATCAGAAGATGAATGCACATGCTGCTTCTAGAATAGTGTTTTAGTTCAACTCAATGAGTATACTGGACCTACTTTCAGGGATTGCCATAGATGACATCTTAGGAAGTAAAAACTAAGAGGTTAGAATTAAGACACCAGGGGGTACACAGAGCAGATATAATCTGAAGAGAGATAAAGACCAACAGATGCCTGTGTTAAAAAACAACAACAACAAAAACAACTCAGTCCCCCAAAACCAAAGGCCATATGTTCTCTCTGATATGCGGATGCTAACCTACAACAAAGGAAGAATAGAAGTCCATTGGATTAGACAAAGGGGAATGAAGGGAAGGGAGGGCGGGGAGGAGAATAGGAAAAACAGTAGAATTAATCGGACATAACTTTCCTATACTTGTATATGAAAACCAACCAGAATAACTCCACATCATGTACAACCACAAGAATGGGATCCTAATTAGAATAAGTTATACTCCATGTATGTACCATATGCCAAAATACACTCTACTGTCATGTGTATTTAAAAAGAACAAATAAGTTTTTAAAACACTCAATTATGAGTTAGCAATAAAAAGTTTCCAAAAGGAATTGGGAAACAAAGTTAAATCTATACAGTCATCTCTGTTGTGGTGCATTATTTTTAATGCAACTCAGCTCATTAGAGCTTGGTAAATCAGGAAAGCACATCAGCATACTGTGGAAGAAGAGATATTTCTTAAAAACTTCCAAGTGGATCAACATAAAGCAACCCAGGACAAGCTTTCTCATAAGTGAAAAGAAAGCTTTATGTCTGGGGATGTAGCTCAGTGGTTGAGTGCTTGCCTAGCACACACAAAGCCCTGGGGTTCCATCCCCAGCATCATACAAAAATTAATTAATTAATTAAAAACGAAAGATTTAGGCTGGGCACAGTGGTTCATGCCCATAATCCCAGAAGCTCGGGAAGTTGAGGCAGGAGGATCATGAGTTCAAAGCAACCTCAGCAAAAACAAGGTGCTAAGCAACTCAGTGAAACCCTGTCTCTAAATAAAATACAAAATAGGGCTGGGGTTGTGGCTCAATGGTCAAGTGCCCCTGAATTTAATCCCCGGTAACCGCCCCCCTCCCAAAAAAAAAAAAAAAAAAACATTAAGATTTGGCAATATACAAAAATCTTAAAGGGAAAACTCCTGAAAATCTGTAGACTTGACTCTTTGGTGCAAGTATTGACTGGTTTAATAATTCAAAAATACCTCTAATTTCTTCCAAATTTAGCTCTCTGAGGAAGTTCAGAGTACCAATGGAAATGCCATGAAAACATTTTCTTGTGTTAAAAAAGTCATGAGTATGAAGGAGTCAACACCCTGTGACAGGTTTGTGAATTAGGAGCAAGTGTACTCAAAAATCTAGTTCTCAAAGAAGGAGGTGAAATGTCCAAGATTAATTGTGACTTTGGGTTGATGTTGAGTGCCATGCCAGTACTGATTTTACAGACCACTGTTTTTTTGTTCTTGCTACTGCTTCTGTTGGTACTGTAGTAGAAATCCCCACTCTCTGAAGAAAGACGTCTCTAATGAATAGTTTTCACACTTTACTATACATATGAGAATCACATGGGAAGCTCATTAAAAATGCAGATTCTTAGAACCTATTCCCAGAATCTGATTATATAAGTTTGGAATAGGGCAGAGAGTCTATTGTTCACAAATCTACCAGATGTCTCCAAGGCCTCAACTACTAGTATATTCTCCCCAGTGAGGAAACAGCCCTAAATGGCCCATATTTGAAGGTCAGATGTCTTCTCCGTTGGCATTCCCTCTCACCTTGATGGTGATGTGCCCATGGACATTCTCCATTTCTCCCAGCATGGCTGACATCAAGGAAGATTTCCCAGAGCCTACAGTGCCCACCACAGCCACCAACTGGCCTTCCATAATGTCCAGGTTCACACTGAAAGAAGCAAAATTATTTTGAAGACAATGAGGGCTTCGTAATCAAGAGTAGTTCAAGCCTTGACTCTCCATGAAGTCTGGTATTATGAGATTTCCCTCTCAAGATTGGAAAATTAACCTTGGACATATAAGACCTCAGTTCTTTAATGAAAAAAAAAAATTTTTTTTTGGTACTAGGAATTGAACTCAGGAGTACTCGACCACTGAGCCATATCCCCAGCCCTATTTTGTATTTTATTTAGAGTTGGTGAGGATGGCTTTGAACTCGCTATTCTCCTGTCTCAACTTCCCAAGCTGCTGGTATTACAGACGTGAGCCACTGTACCTGGCTTTTAATGAAAAAAAAATTTTAATATATATTTTTTAGATGTTGATGAACCTTTTTCTTATTCATTTATTTGTATGTGGTGCTAAGAATCGAACCCAGTGCCTCACACATGCTAGGCAAGCGGTGTACCACTGAGCCACAAGCCCAGCCCATAATGAAAATTTTTTAAAGCTCTAAAAGGCTAAAGAATGAGCTCTAATTTATGCAACTCCTTTATAAACTGTGCTAAATGTGTGTTTCCAATGGAAAAATCCTCCTAGGACCAACATGGTACCATTGAATAAGATCCTGATGGGAGTCTAGAGACCTGGCCTGGTTCAGGTCCTAATTCTGCCACTGCTGGGTTTCTAAGCTAACAGAGTTAGACTAAATCAATGTTTTCCAAATTAGGTTATTCAATGACAAACTAAATGTTACTTATTTTTATGCAATCTTTCATGTATTCAATGAATAGCACTAGCTGAAAGCAGATTCCTTGGTCCCTCTGGGAAGAATGACTTCTCTGGCTGAGATGGAGCCTTCACTGGGCTATAATCCTAAAAACCTGGTTTGCCAGCCTTATGATTTGAGTCCCTAGAACATTTGGAACATTGAAATCTTGCTCATAGTCTTTCTGAACCTGCCCATTGAGTTGAACTTTTTCAGACTTATAGCAGTTAAGTGGGAACTGTGCCTACTTTCCCCTCTACAAAGGGAAGTTTTTAGGTTGGGAGGGTTCAGAGCAGGGGCTCCTTCCCTGACTCATCCTGTGGCTAGCTCATGAGTCCATGTTCAGGACTATAGGGATAGGAGAGAAGGGCAGGAAGTCATAAGAAGAGAGATGATACAGCATGCTTAGCTGTGGAGAAAGACAGGGCCTGCTCTGTTGGCAATGTGCTCATTGGACTAGTTGGTGTGCCTAAGAGATACTCTTTGTGTAGCAGTGTGGCAAGAGGCTTGGGGTAAGCCCACCTACATGACAGAAGAGGTGGCTTCTATGGGGTGCAGTGTAGGAATGGGTTATTTTGATGTGAAATTCTAGACAAAGAATTTTATAGAGGTAGCTCCCATTGTGTGGTCCGTGGGGAAAAGTCAGATACTAATGTTCCTGACTATTATTCTTTTTTTAAAAAATTTAAATAATATTATTGTATTTTTATACCTTTATTTTATTTATTTTTATGTGGTGCTGAGGATTGAACCCAGTACCTCATACCTGCTAGGCAAGTGCTCAACCACTGAGCTGCAATCACTAGAAGCCCCCAGATTATTATTCTTAAATGAATGAATAAACTTAACTTTCAGGTTCTTGGTGTGCCTCTACCATACCCAGAGACCTAGGCCACTTGCCAACCCTGCTGTCTCCATCTGTTATCTGGGAAACAAACATTGTCATGGGTTTTCAGCTGGACAGTCAGACCATCCTACAGTAGGAAAGCTGGATGGCAAAGGTTCAGGATCTTTGCTCTCAGCTTATCCCTCAGAGGCTTAGTCTGCACTAGTATCTAACTGAACACATACACATAGTTTGTTTCCCCATGTATTCTATTACAGGGAATTTTCAGAAAGCAGAACAGTCAAGAAGAATATTAAGGAATAACATGATAATAAGGAGGCAACTCACTCTTGGATTGTGGTTTCTGCATCCCGATCCCATGTAAATGAGGCCTCCGAAAATTGCACAGCTTTGTCTGTTGAAGAAAAGGCCCCCTCTTTTGGTTACCTGTAAGCCCCCATATATCTGCCTTCCCTTCCCCAGCCCTCGTGACTCTCCTTCCTCTATTAATTCCTAAGGTCACCTCTGTTAGAAGGCTCCTAGGATGAGAATAGAAGGGGCCTGCATATTTGAAGTCCTTTTTTATTTAGAAGTCCTCAACTTGGTAGCCCAGATTCCTGACCTGTAGATGCCCTGAGGACATCTCTAGGCTCTCTGTTGCCCAGTCCCCTTGTATGAGTTCACCTCCTTATACATGAATCCCCACCCTGGATTCCAGACCCACTGCTCATTATGTTCATGGATAACTGTCTTCCTTCACTCCAGGCTACCTTCCCAGCCCCACACATGTGGCTCCATCCTGACCTCTGCTTCCTGGATCCTTTGCAGGATTCTCTGTTTTTTCTCAGAACAGCCTGGCCCAGCTTTGCTTAGCAATATAGCTAGGCAATCCACTCTGAGTGAAAACATAATTTAAGCTAACACACGCTTATTATACAAGCATAAGATCAAGACTAACCCTCCTTTAATTAGTTTGTTGCCATCCCCTCCCAAGCCCCGAATGTCAAAATTCTGGCACCAGCACTACAAATAATTTGGGGAAACAACTTCCAAATTGTTTACCAAAATTGCGGACATGTCGAATGGCAGATGTGTCCAAGTCATCCCCTCCCAAGTACTTCTCTAGCCGCCTTACAGAAACGGTAGCCTGGAAAGGACACAAAGGATCTCAAAAATAAAAATATTTCAATAACTAACAAACAGGGAAAGGAACTTGTCATTACCCCCGGATTTGCCATTTTCCACATCTAGAGCCTCCTGACCTTCACCACAGACTTAGCCACACTTCATCCCTGGAAGCCATCCCCAGATAGAATCAAATTAAGACAGCATTTCAGCCCTTCAGGAAACACAAGGAGTTCAGCTCTACTGCTATCTCTGTCCAAACTCTGGCCCTGTTTCCAGAAACTGTCCCATGCTTTCTTCTAAGACAAAGCCCTAATTTCTACCTACTTCTGGTAACTGGGTCCCTGTCTTGCCCTTACTTAATTGAGTCTATTCTTTGATGATACCTCCAGCATCTTAACTGAGCTACCACTGGGATCCTCTATAAAGGAATTGACCAAAGCTGAAATTGAAGTTGACTTAAGTGTTGGCAGAACACCCAGTGGTACCTGGAATGTGAAAGCTGAGGAGGTTTTAAAGAATTTTCTACAAGGATGTTTTTCATCATCCTTCCTATCTTCTAATGAGGTTGTCATAAGATGGTCCTCACGACCACCTGACTTGTTGAAGTATTATTAGGCTTTCTGCCTGTACCTTCCTTAGGGACCAACTGTAGGCTATAAAAAGTGCTTGTTTCAGCTCCTCAGAAACAAGAGTGTCCCACAGTCCATGCTGTATTATCATTCAAACCCTTTTGCTTCAGTGTTATACTGTGGGACAAGGAATGCAGGGAGCTGACACCTTTGCTGATCTTGCTTTTGCTATCTATGGAATAAACTATATCTGAAAAGAGCATATTGTTTCTTTATTGGCCAAATTGGTCAGCCTTTCTTCATTCTCTTCAGGACAAGGAGGCCTTCTCCTAAACCCCAGTCCTTCTGATGGCCAGAGCTGTCTGAAGCAGGTCACCACACTTCTCCTGTTCCCCATCATTCTGGCCCCCTTATCAGTCTGCCACCTGCCTTGTGAACTAACCCTAAGGTCAGATCCTTGGCCCATCTCAGAGCTCAGTTTTCAGAATGCAGATACGTCCTCTGGCCCATCCAAGGCCTCCTAAACTTAAAACTCATCTTCTGACAGCAGAAGGCTCCAAATTTACCACTATATGGGTTCATGCAAAGAAAGGGTCTTTCTCTCCCTTTGTGCCATATTTGTCTAATGTATCAACACCTCAAAAATCTTAGAAAAATCCATAGAAAATAGGCTGGGAAAAGGGCTTTCAAATATTCCCAACAATAGGGCTCATCATAATAGACTTCATAAAATTCACAAGATTCCCTGTGAGGTAGATAATACTGGTATGATAATCCTAATTTTAGAGTGAGATATATTGAGGCTCAAGAGAATTTGTGATTTAAGTAAGATCAAACCATTGGCCTCCAGAGATCAAACAGATCTAACTGAAAGTTCACCAGCAGAAGCTAGAAATGGGACATAATAGGTCAGTTATTCTGGCCTCTTGGGTTTTTACCCAGAGATAAGCAGTTAGCAGTGGAGTTCCTATGTACCTGGAGCACAGAGGAGATCACCATGGGAAGCATGCCCAGGGGAAAGCGCAGTATATTGAAGAGGGTGATGGAGGTGAAGGCCTTTTCTGCATCCAAAATATTGTTGCTATCCACCAGAACATAAACAGCAAACGTGATCACAGACACCTGGGAAGAGCAAGGTCATAAACGATCTGTTCCGAAAAGGATCCAACCAGCTCTGGGCTAAACTTCAGAAACATAGTATATAAGCATTGGGAGAACCTTAAGGATTATCTCAGCTTCCTGTTACTGATGAGAAAACAGACAAAGAGAGGAAGATATATCTTGCCCAAGTTTACAAAGCCAATTAATAGATTGCTAGGACCACAGTTTGGGTCTTATGTCAATATTCCTCTCACCATAAACTCATATGACCTCTCCCAAGAAGACAAGGAACCATCCTATACACATCCAGTCATGCTAAACATCCTGAAAGCTTTCTCTTGGTTACCAAAACAGCAAACAGCACACAAGGGTAGAACTAGAATTGGGACATAATGTAGGGATGATGATATGGAGGTTTGATGAGTGGGAATAAATTCCCTGGATTTCTGGATTAGGCCTACAGACACTGGGAATCTCTCAAGAATAGACATTCCACTTCAGGAAGCTGACCCAAATCCAAAACCTACCCAGTCCACTGACTCCTCTGATACTCACCAGGACAGGTGTTACTTGTAAGATAAGTATCATCAGAGACTGCAGCTGACCAAAGAACAGCAGGTTCTTGAGCTCTTTCTTCCGAAGGTTGTGGACTTGGTCTTTGAATGAAGGTTCCCAGGCAAAATATTTCAGGATCTAATAGGTTAGAAAAAAGCACATTCCACACTGTTGTCCTGAAAGGGCAGCAGGTGTGTCTGATCTACCACATTTAAGGATATGCTCCCTTATTTGGAATTTGGAAATCCAGATTATAAAGAATGATTACAGAGAGATAGCTTGTATTTGTTGACAACTTGCTACCTACAAAGAATTTTGCATGTATTATCTCATTGAGTCTTTATTGCAACCTGTCCCAGTTTGTCAGGGACTAAGGAGTTGCCAAGACTTGGGTCCATTTGTGCTAGAACCTAGAAAGTTTTGGAAAAAACATGGTGAATCAGTCAGTCTGCTTTTGTAGAAAATACAAGGAAAAAGACTGAAAGAAGTGAAGCAACTTGCCCAAGGTCACCAAGCTAGTAGTGGAGCTGAGATTCAAAACCAAGTCTTTTAATTTTGTTCCATTAGCAGAGAGACAGATCAGAGCTCTGAATGGAAAAATATCAGGGAGTTTGGAAAAAAAAAGCCTCTTTTTCATTTTTTTAAAATTTGGGGTAATATTAAAATCCATGAATTCAAAACACTTAAAAAAAAAACTTACTGGCCACCTTTAAAGAACAAAATGCATTATTTTGAAATCTGGGAAACAAGAATTTATCTTGTCTATCCTGTACAAACTTTATTTTAAGGAACCAGCTAGTTGATAAAAGACAATTCTTTATAGAAATTCAAGTAATCAATTCACAAAGGAAAAACAAAATTAAAATATCACTCACAAAATTTTCACTATTTTGCAACTCCTAATGAAAAAATAGGTCTAAGAAACCATCATAAAATTTGTACAACCATATTTGTTTTTCACCTGGTTGCATATTAGAATGCTCCAGGAAGCTTTTCAAAAACGTAGGTGCTTAGGCCTCGACCCCAGAGAGTTCAATTTAAGTGAACTGAAGTGAGTCTCAAACTTCACAGGTGATACTAATGTGCTACCAGAGTCTCAAAGTGCTATCCCAGGTGAAAGAATAAACCATGCTGATAATGCCTGAGCTCGATGAGTGGCCACCCTTGCTGCTATTGTGAAGCACACAGAACCACTTGAAAGTAACCTTTCACCCAAAGAAAATCAAATCCAAATCTAAGTAAATCTACTACCAATTTATAAGAAATACAGGAAACAAGGCAACTTGGTTCCTTCAAGATGACAGAGGAGTGTTGCAAATTAAGGTCACTATCAACAAAATGCCATATGTAGACATTTTTTAGATCTTTATTCAAATTAACAAACAGTTAAAAAAGAAGATGAGTATGAGGCAATTGGGAAAATGGTATAGAAGAATGATTGCTATTTTTATTTTTTAGGTGTAATATGGTATTATGGTTCTGTTAAAAAAACAATAAGGACGTCCTTTAGTAACACACAAAAAGTACTTACTAATGAAATGACAAGACATCTGAGGTTTGCTTTAAAAAAATCTCTCAGGTGTGACAGGCGGGGCGTGGGCATACAGATGAAACTAGTTAGATCAGGCTGACCATGGCTGGGGCTAGGTCCATTCAGCTTCATTATATCATTCTATTTTTGTGTACGTTTAAAATTTTTTTGCAGTAAAATGTAAAAACAAACCAAAATAAATGTAAATAAAAAATATATCAAGGTTTAAAAGAGGGCCTGGAAGGGATGATAGGAGATGAAACAGAACACTTAGGGGTAGACAAATCAGGAATCATGAGACATACAGTAAAGGCCACGGAGCAGGAACCCACAATCCCTACTAGAATTTATTAAGGGCCAAGAAATTCACTGCTTCTGCCATTGCAACCAGAGGGCTACCAACATCAGGCTTCTTACCTTGATTCCGCTGAGAATCTCATTCATGATTTTCAAACGTCTGTCTTTATTTTTCATATTTTGGAACTGCCAGGAAAAGGCAAAATAAACAAAATATGCTTCCATGAGAAAGGGCCCAGGTTTGCAGCAGGCACTAGTCCTCGTGATACTCAAGACTGTCATTTGGAGCTTGAGGTGATGGCATTCATCTCTCTCCACTCTCCCCTCTGCCCACTCTAGTCCATCTGTCCCTACTTTCCTTCTGATCCTGAAACAGGCCCATCTTGTTTCTGCCTCACCATCTCCATTTGACTAGTGTCTTATTAGGTCATTCCTCCCTTCCCCTAACCAAGGCTTGCCTTTCATGGTCAGACTTGTGACTGGTTTAAACGTCCCCTTCTCACAGAGGACCAGCTCTCTTGACCTCCTAATTGAAAACAATTATCTGCTCACTCCCTATATTTCACTCTTAGTTCTCTGTATAGTACTTATCATGATCTGATATTTTTCTTCTTCTTGTACTGCCTGTCTCCCCACCCCCAAGCAGAATGTAAGATTCAAAAGAGCAGGAACCTTGTCTTATTTGCTGCTGTGTTCTCAGAAAAGAAGATGTGCAACAAATATTTTTAAAACTATTATTTGTAATGAAATAAATGCAAAACATATGAAGGAATAAGTCATGAACACCATCAAGTCAACCCACCAAGCCTGTGATTCCTGGAAGAACTAAGGACTGTCCATGTGGAGCCCTCCCACCTGCCTGGTTGAAGCAGGGTCATTGCCAGGACTTAAGAGTTGGGATCACTCATGTGACTAAGTGGTTGGTTTTATCACTATGATAGATAAACAGAGTCAGAAATCCCTGTTCTGAGGATAGCCCAGCAGAGCAGGGTAAAAGAGTTATGTGCCAGTTCTCCAGGGCACCTTTCCCTCTTGAGTCAAGCTCTTCCCTCTAATATGAACGAAAACCATATAAACCCTAAGAGTGGTCAGAAGATGAAAAGAGAAAACAGAGAAAGCCAAGTATATTCGGGATGATGGAAAGTCTTGAACTAGCTTTGCTTTGTCCTAACTCCTTAAAGAATTAGAGCAACTAAAAATGTTTACACTTAAAGAAAGCATCACCGGGATGACTGTTTATTCACCTGAATACTCCTATTCTTGGTGGCCAAAAATCCATTAAGTGGGATGAGGAGAACCATCACCCCAACACCTGCTAAGACTGAGGGTCCCAATTCACTCCATAAGAAGAAGATGGATAAGACAATCTGTAGAACAGTTGACCACAGCAAGTGCAGGTAGTTGAACACATCCATGAGCTTCTGGGCATCCACAGACATCAGGTTCACTGTTTCACCAATGGGGTACTTCTTTCTGGCCAAGTTGGATAAGGTCAGTGCCTAAAGATAAATTTAGATCAAAATTGGGATTCATGAGCAAGGCCCAGAATATTGGGGAGGAGAAGTAGAAACACAGGAAATGAGAATACAATGGAAGGATGTGGACACAAATTCTTCAAGGGACAGTGACTCCTTGCCTCCAAATCTTACACATGCTATTCTCTCATTCTTGACTATGCTTGCCTCTTATTTCCACCTTTCCCCAACCCCACTTATCCACACACTTCTTAGACCAGAACACTCCTATTAATCCTTTGGTGTCAATTTAGATACAACTTCTGAGAAGACTACCCTGACTCCAAAATTTAGGATAGATACCTCTTCTGTGTACTCCTAAAAATTCTGTGCTTACCTTTTTCATTACCTTCATTACAATGAACTATAATCAATTTGTTTTTCTATTTCTGTACTAGAGGTAAACCCTGTGAGGACAAGGACTACATCTGTCCATTTCACTACTATATTATGTGCACTCGGTAGGGAATCAAATACTAAAGAAAGGGAGGAAAGAAAGGATGGGATGGAGGGAGGAAATCAGCATGTGTTGATTCTAGCCTTGGAGACTTTTGAAGTAGCAAAGTTATTTGCAGCTATACTCTCATATTGAGGTTTGCAAGCATTCCCAAGAAGGACAGAGATTTTAGAATGGAGAGGAAAGCTGCAGAGTTTACATATCTGAAGTAAAATGACTTGACAATTGTTAGGAATTTATAGGTAATACTCAGAGGCCTGAATCTTATAATGTGGGCTTCCTGCTCTCATGTTAGAGAATTCAGAAGGCTAATACCCACAGGTCTGTCTCAACGATGCTTTACACAAATACACCAGAGCACTGAAACTAGCTTATACTATGTTCACAAAGGCACCATCTGGTGTGGCCTGCATCTTCTCATGAGAATGAACCAGCTTCTAATTCTCACAGAAACAGCATATGGGCTGTGACTGACCCTAGATGCCCACCTCCATCCTACTCCTAGAAAATTCTACTGCCATCTTAATCCAACAATACATTCTTTCAAACATGCTGGAATTCTTGATTGTATAGTAAAAAGAGAGAGAGATTTCTAAAATATTAGGCTACCAAGGTTCAAGAGGAATCATGACCAGCTTCTTTCCCACCTTTACATTTTCTGTCAAGGCATTTTAGCATTGTCAAGAGAGATGCAGAAAGAGAGGCACAAGTATCTAAGTCCTGTAGGCTGAAAGGCAGATCCTAGGCAGCTTGCTAGCTTCCTAAGCTGACCTCCCTATGTCTAGAAACACTTTTCATATTCAATTTCCAAAGAAACATTTAAAGGAGTCTGTATGGCTAATCAAAATCAAGTATTGATATTAGTTATCATCTCCATCAAGTTTCCTTAATCTTGGAATAAATGCTCATGTTGGCTAAGGGAATTGTCTTTTATGATACATGACATAGTCTGCTTACCTTCTTATACACAGAAGCTATGACTGTTGTCCGTACACTCATCCCCATTATGAAGCACAATTGAAAATAAGACTGAAGGCAGAGAGACTGGATGAGAGTCACAGCAAACAAGAGGATGGCATAGACATATCCGGTCCATGCATACATGTTATGGTCACTTACAAAGGAAATCAGCAATCTGCCAGAGCAAAACCAAGGAAATTATGCCCATTAGTTAGGTCTCCAAAGGCTCCTCGCTCTCCTCATGTACAGCCAATTGCCCTACTCTTATATCCTGGGTAACAAAAATGATCAGAATCATCCAATGCCTTTGGAAGACCCAAGAACAGTCTTGCCAATGTTCTTGCTTTTATCTGGAGATGGCTAGCAAGAGCTTAAGATTGATAACCTATGGCTGTGAGAATGGATAATTATTGAAATGCTCCAGGTAAATGACACTCCAGTGCTTTGGCCCTGTCTTATCCCACTCCTGGGTAAAAGTTAGCTTGTGGGACAAGTTAATCATTTCTAGACAATGAAACCCTAAAAATTAGGACAATATCCAGAATGAGTTAAAAGGGCTTCCCTTATGGTGGTCCATTCCAGATCATGCCAGACAGCAAAGTTTATCTTATTAGTCTGAAACTCTTAGGAAAGGCTGTGGCTGAGGGCAGAAATGAAGTTAGTTGCTCCCCTGGGTGTGCTGTCCACCTTTGGGCATGGCTCAGATCATAGCAGTTCCGTTGAACAACAAAGAGGCCTAACCTGTGTCTGACCTCCTATGAAGTGGTAGTGGAGTATATGAGAAAGAGAGACACATGTATATATCAGCTTAAATCTTGAAAAATTCTTTGTGCTCTACAAGAACTCAAAGCTGTTAGGAGAAAAAAATTATGAGCATTTTTTAAAATGAGAATTTAACCAGGCATAGCAGTACAGGCCTGTTATCCTAGTGACACAGGAAGCTGAGGCAGGAAGATCACAAGTTCCAGACCACCCTGGGCAACTAGCAAGATCCTGCCTCAAAATAAAAAATAAAAAGCTCAGGAGTAAAGTGCCCCTGGGTCCACTCCCAATTCTGCCATAAATAAATAAATAAATAAAGAGTATTATTAAAGCTCTTGCCTGCCTACACAAAAGGCAAAAGGGAGGGTGGCAGAGGTAACCCTGAAAGTATAACCCAAGGCCTGGGGACTCACTTCAGCAGCTGAGGATTTAGAAATATGAAGATATCATGTATTAGCTTCAGGAAGAATGATTTCAGGAGCATGATCCAGAAAGTCTTGAAGAGAGTTATAATTAGCCAGGACTTGGGAAAGTCTTCTGTGGGCCCAGACTTCTTTTTTTTCTTTTTAGTTTCTTCCTGGATACAGAACCAAATATCAGAGTCCACAGAGTTGTGCAGTACAAGATCTTGTTCCTGCCCTGAACAGCTCCAGATTTCTAGCAGTGCCTGTGAGCCCTGTTCCCTTCTTTGTATAGCTCTTAACTTACTCTTCATCACCCAGCTGGCCCCCTCCTGTTCCTCTCTCCCATTTCTAATTGATATTGTAATCTATTTTGGTTTAGGAAAGCAGGCAACTGTAAAACAAAAAACAGAGGGCCTAAGGGGCAATCCTGAGAGGGAAGGACATGGATATGATAATATCATTTTCGAATTCTTAGGTGTTTTTTTTTCCCTTGCTTATGGTTTTTGGAAGATGTTATGGATTGAATTGTATCCCCCTCACCCCAACAAAAGATATGTTGAAATCCTAACCTTTAGCAACTTAGAACGTGCTCTTATTTGGAAATGGGATCTTTGCTGGTGTAATCAAGTTAACATGAGGTCATTAGGGTGAGCTGTAATCCAATATGACTGGTGTCATCATAAGAAGAGAAGAGACAGACACAGGGAGAATGTGGCCATGTGATACCAGAGGTGGGGAATAGAATGATGCATCTACAGGCCATGGAATGCCCAGGATTTCTGGCAAAAACCAGAAGAAGGGAGAGGCAAGAAGGGCTCTCTGTTACAGGTTTCAGAGGGAGAATGATTCTGCTGATATCTTGATGTCACACTTTTGGCCTCCTAATCTGTGAGATAATAAACTTGTCTCTCTGTGTGCAGGGCATCCAGCATGCTAAGCAGGTGCTCTACCCCTGAGCTACACCATCAACCTATATACTGTTTAATGCCTTCACTTTGGGGTACTTTGTTATGGCAGCCCAACAAAACTAATACCCGGGGCAATAATGACTCATTTAACACCCTCTTTTTCCAGTGTTTTGGTCTCATGTCCCCAATTCTGGCTTCTTATTAGCTGCTAATGATAACTCCTATCAAGATACAAATATTGTAAGGCTAAGATATTATTTAGGGGAAAAAATTAGTGGACCTTTTTACACATACTCAAAAGGAGAGAGAATAGTACATTATACCTCCATGTATCTATCGTTACTGGTATTGTGAATACTACCAATAATATAAAATACACTTAAAAGTACAAAGTACTGAAAAACATAGGACAATAACCACCATGACACCGCTTCTTGCCTGAAACATACAGTACACTCACTCAGACACTTTTGGGAAAGTTACCAGGACAAGGACATCTTGGCTTTGACTCTGGTTCTTGTTCAAGTCATGCAATGTGGCTCCAGAGTTCCGCTGGGATTTCTTCTGCTGTCGTTTCTGGAAGGCCCGCCTGGCTTTCTGCAGCTCTTTTGCCATGAATATTTCAAATCTGCTCACTATTGTCTTGACTTTAAGTCCTTCATCAATATCCCAGACATCTTCAAGTGTCAAAGGTTGCTTGTAACCTTTCAGAACTATGCTGGAACAAGAGTGACCCAAAGGCTGAGACCCCATAGGCTGCATCACAGGTGCCCTCTCTGCTGCTTCTATTGAAACCTGCTTGCCAGATCTGGGATATAGGGGTAAAGAATGGGACTTCTCCACTGCTCCACTATCCCCATCTCTTGGATATTTGAAGTTGACACAGGAGTAGGGAGAACAGAAAAGAGAATGTGCAGGGATAATAGAATGTGTTCAAAGACAGCAAGACAAGAGAAAAAGAATTGGCCCTACTTTGTTAAGATCCCAAATCCATCACCTTCCTCTGCTTCTGACCCCTTCCTCCTCTAATACTGGCTGTGTCTCTGCACTCTGGCATCTCCTTCAGGGGATTCCATAATGCCCTTAGAAAGTAGAGTGGGCCTCATGGCTGCCTCTATACTATCTCTCTAGCTCAGGGCTCCCCAAACTGGGTTTTGAGAACATGGTAGAAAATAAATTACATCTTTCTTTGTAATAGCTTCTAACTGAAATCCAGCTTTTCCTTCTAATAAGAGTATAACATGGTGCTTTGTCACTAGGAGACATCAAAAATGTTTTCATGACTAATTTATATTCATCACTACTTTAACATTAAGGTCATTATTAGACCCACCACTAGATCTTGTTATTTAATGTATTGATTTAAAAGCACATGTAGGGGCTGGGGATGTGGCTCAAGCGGTAGCGCGCTCGCCTGGCATGCGTGCGGCCCGGGTTCGATCCTCAGCACCACATACAAACAAAGATGTTGTGTCTGCCAAATGCTAAAAAATAAATATTATCAAATGTATAAATAAATCCATGTTATCTTTAAAAAAAATAAATAAAAAAAAATAAAAGCACATGTATTAAAATGTCACAAATTTGCTTTTAAAATATTTTGATAACTATACTTCGATGTAGTTTATTTCTTTGTATTCCTGTGTCTTTTACCTTATGCATTTAAAACATTATCTGAGAAGGGATTCATGGGCTCCACCAGTCTGCCAAAAGGGTCCATGGAACCACAAAGGCCAGGGATACTTGTTCCAGATCCTCTGACAGCCAGGCCAGCTATTTCATCCCTTACCCTCCAAACCTGTGCCATGCTGCTTGCCTCCAAATTTCCCCTTTCCTGACCTGCTTTTTTCTCTTTTCCTGTGGAACTCCCAGGCTACCAAGAGCATTCCCTCCCACTCTCTCTTCAGCATGCTAATCTGCCTAATAAATGGGGCTGAATCAAACTGACCTGTAAATCTTACTTTTTTTTTGTTATTGTTGTTGCTGGGGATGGAACCTAGGGCCTCATGCAGGCCAGGCAAGTGCTCTAACACTGAGCTACATCCCCAGCCATATGACTTATAAATTTTAACACCCTATGACTCTAAGTAGAAAATAAATGGAGGCCACAGGAGGAGTTTTTGTTTATTTTTTTTTGTTATGTTTTGTTTCGTTTTTGATTTTCTAAATTAAGCTTTCCTTCACTTTCAGAAAAGTGAAGGGGTAGAAACATAGAAAACCCATACTCCAGGCATTTCCTACCTGTCATACCAACTAAAGGTAATGCTACTCAGAAATGAAGCCGTGGATGATGGATTCTGAAAGATACAAAAAATTTAAAAGTAAATCAATTGGAAAAAGGAACTTATGGGACTCCATAATCAGAAGTTGATTTTTCTAGGTATGATATGCGAGAAACTAGATATAATGCTAAAGTCAGTTGGTCAATATGCTAATTTGGAGATCCTAAGATAACTACTAATGGAATGGTAATCAGATTTTCTGTCATAGATGTATAAATTAATTGCCTATGTTAAAGATTGATGGGTGAATATAAAAGTCAGTATTTCAATATGTTCATCCCTATTTCCTTAGGTATAAAATATTCTATATTATAAGTTGAGCATCCCTTATCCAAAATGCTTGGGATCAGGAATATTTCTGATTTTGAAGATTTTCAGGTTGTACAATAATGCACAGACTTTCTGAATTTTTCAGATTGGGAACATTTATTGATTTCAGATTTTCAGACTAGGGATGCTCAACCAGTATCTTATTCTGGGCTCATGGAATCTCTATGATACCTAGGTATCTTAAAGTGTTATTTGTTAAGATATCCTCCAATTAAAGAATATATGAAATGGGAATATTTAGAGTCTCACATTTGATGAGTCACTTTTTTCTGAAAATGCGTAAAGGATCAGGATCAAGATCTGGAATCCATATGAGATGAAGAACAGGCAGGAATAGGCCAGATTGGAATTGCTGTCCTGTGGGGTTAAAAAGAAAAAAAAAAAAAAAGAAAAGAAAATGAGCCTTTTCTACACATTAAGACTAACTAGCCCATAAAATATCAAAGCTATAGTTAAAGCCTATTATCATATCTCCATAATACAATTCTGTCTTGGAGTCAAACTTCTTGATGTCACTTACTCTGACTTAGAAGTCACCCAGCAGTACCTCTTCATGTCACCCTCTCTTTTCCCCTTACCTGCAAGAGTGCCCGAATCAGAGTCTGAAATTGGAAAGTGCCACAGAGTATTGAGAGAATCCAGAATAGGGACAGGAACCAAGAGTTCTTCTGTATACACCATTGCCTGCTGTCTTGGATCAGCAAAACCAGGAGCTAGAGAGATTCACATAACGTTGTGAAGAATAATGTCATTAACCAAGGGCAGGAAGGGAGAAGGATGTCAGAAAACATGGGGAAAAGGGGGATTGGTGAACCTAGTCTGGCCAGGCAGACAGCACACAAATGCCAAATTGTTTCCTCCCTAATACCAATTCCTTTCTAGAGCCTAATCTCTATTCACCACACTTGGGTGGGAAGTAAGCCAGAAAAGCAGAAGGTCACTATCTGCATTTTAGTGGAGGTTTACTAACCTTTTAAAGAGAAAAAAAAAATGAATATCAGGTAGCAGTCAAGTCAAGCAGGCAAATTCTGATAAATAGGTACAAGTTGTCTGTGTCTTGATTTTCTGATATTGGATTGAACAAGTAGTTTTTTTTATTAGTTGCTCATGACAATACAATGATCTTGACATTTTTTAAAACCTAAATCCTTGCCTTGTATCATCATTTGACTTAGATATATTGGTACCATAGACCTGGTGCTATTTGTTAGTAAATCAGAATTTTTGAGGAAAAAAGTGCCAGGATTTGTAGTATTTGCCAATTTTCATGGTGTAAATACTCTCACTATGGTAGATTCCAAATTCCAACATAATATCACTAAATGCAGGTTTAAAAAGAGATACACACAATCAGCTCAGTTTGTGTGAGCTTCAGTACACTAGTGTCTAGACCCTTCTTTGCTTGTTCTGTAACAGTGATAGCCAATAAAAATGCTTGGAGAGGCCTGGAAGATCATATTTCTGAGTAAAGGCCAGGCAAGAGAAGCAGGAAGCTGTGCCAAGCACAGTCTAAAGGAGGCAAATGCTTCTCAGTCTCAGCGGACTGCTGCTCTGTGGGAATGCAGGTCCATGGTTAATCAGACATTTTGATTTTTCAAGAAAGCTTGCAAATACAAATAATGATGTGTCATCCTCCTCTTTTAAAATGAAAGCAACTAATTCAATTATTTTTAAACAGTGTACAGACCCCCTAAAGACTTACCTGCAGGACAGATATGTTTCTGATATCAAATTTACACAATAGCTCTAGACTTAGTGATTAGTCACCAATCAATTTAAAATAACATTTACAACATTTAAAAATTCTTTCACATCAAGAAACTTAGACATCATCTGTGACACTTAGATAGCAAGAAGGCATAAGGTTGAAGAAAGCTCTATAAATTAGTGTACAAAAGAAGAGGAAAAGTTAAAGTTTGTTTTACCCTATTACAACGAATCTGAGCTTCACTATAGAGCCTTGAAAAAGATAGATAAAATTGGTCTTAATTTCATCCCCAAAGAATATACTTCAGCTAGATGTTTATGGGTAGAGAGAAGATTAAACAGGGTGGAAGTGGCGATGGGTCTTACCCATGTGCACAGGTAGAGGATTGGATTGGTATATCTAACAGGAGGGATTGTAGCTTCTCCAGAGTCTTCTGTGAGTACAAGGGCCAACTCTATGGCTGCTAAAATAAAAAGAAACCCAACAAGCACCTGAGAAGGGAAAAAATCATTGTTAGGAGCAAGTTATTCTTCTTCTTTTTAGATTTCTTCTTCTTTTTTTTATTGGTGCAATACCTAATAACAGGATTCACTCTTACATATTCATACATGTATATTACATAATTCTGCAGATTTCATTCCTCAGTGCCTCTTCTTTCACACTCCTCCTCCCTTCACCAACCCCTTCCTCTATTCTACTGGTTTCCCTTCTATTTTTTATGAGACATCCCCCCTGCCTTTCCCCCAATTTTTCTCTCTAACTTCCACATATGAGAGAAAACATAAGAACCTTAATTTTCTGAGTCTGGCTTATTTTGCTTAACATAAGAGCATGTCATTCTTTGTAAGACTCTTAATACCAAAGGATTTCTAGTAATGGATAGAGAAAAAAAAAATGGTATGTAGTGGTACATATTTATAGTGGTATAGATAACACAATATATATTTCTGAAGTGAATGAATTCATATAGTTTAAGTAATGAAATAAAGTTCAAAGCTTGCCATGATGAACGTTTCTGAGTAATTCTGAGGGTGATGACTTTAAAATATGTCCACAAATTTTTCATACTCCTCCCTTCACAATGTAGAGCTCAGTTCCCCTTCCCTTTAGAGTGGGCTGGACTCAGTGACTATTTCTAATGATAGCAAATGGTGGAAGTATGACTTTTAAGACTCAGACCATAAAAAGCAGTGGGCTTCTTCCTCCTTGTTCTCTCTCAGATCACTAATTTGGGGAAAGCTACCAGCTCAAAATGACTCATTTAGTACATTTATTTATCTCTCAACCCTTCTCATCTAATTAAAATGATAGTGAAATAGTACCCAGGAAATAAATTCATAATAGTAACGAGAATATAAATGGAGAAGGGTAAGCAGGGTACCCCCAACTTGGATAATGACAGAGGGACTCACTCTGAACATCTGTGTTAAATAACTTGGCCTTTTTTGTTAAAACACATACAGAACTAAATTCCTAGGAAGTTTAGAAAAATCCAGTACTAGCAAAGACAGCCAAAATGATTAAATAGAACAATCAATTCTGGGATAAAACAAACATGATAAGTGAACAGAAGAGAATTTAATATATTTTAAATTAATATTCTAAGAGAGATTTTATTTTTTTTCCTCCTACAATTTGAGAAGACACTGCATCCAGAAAGAGGTGTCTTTTTTTTTTAAAGGTATATTCAGAAGTTAATATTTTTTGGCACTGGGGATTAAATCAAAGGGTGCTTTGCCACTGAGCTACATTGCCCGCCCTTTTTATTTTTAATTTTGTGATAGGATCTTGGTAAATTGTTTAGGGTCTCCCTAAATTGCTGAGGCTGACCTTGAACTTGTGATCCCATGTCAGCCTCCCAAGTCTCTAGGATTACAGGCATGTGCCACTGCACCAGTGTAGTTAACAATTCTTGTTTATTCATAATTGCTATAAAAAATGTTCTTTAGGATAACTGGAAGAAAATATTGAGGAAATCTGAAGGGGAAAAGGAAAAATAGTTGGGGGGTACAATTGAGAAGGAAGATCAATTCAGAGAACTCAACATCTAGCTAAAAGAAGTTCTAGAGAAACAGAATTTCAAAAGGAGAAGAAATGAAAGGAGTAAAATATGAACATTTCTCAGAGATAAGACATGAGCCAGGCAAGGTGGCTCTGCCCTCATTTCCCCCATAATTCAGGAGGCTATGACAGGAGTATTGTGATTCAAGACCAGACTGGGCAATATCCCCCAGGAAAAAAGAAAAAGAAAAGAAGGGAAAGAAAAGACAGGTCTTCAGGTTTCAGGTTTACTGAATGGAAAAAACAAACAAACAAACAAACATACATGAAGACAGATGCTCATGAAATTTTAAGACATGAAGAATAAAGTGCATAAAAGCTTCTAGCAAGGATAACAGGAATGAGAATTCTAACTCAGTAACAGAGGATGTTGGGGAACATTGTAGCAATATGCTCTTAGTGAAAACAAAAAAAAATAATACTAGCACCTAGAAAGTAAGGACTTAGGGACTTAATTTACTGTCACTCTTTCTGAAAATTTTATTTGAAAATATTCTCCTATAAAAGGGATCCAAGAAATTTTTTTTTAAAAAATATGTATTTATTAGTTTTAGGTGGACACAATATCATCATTTTACATTTATGTGGTGCTGAGGATCGAACCCAGTGCCTCGTGCATGCTAGGCGAACACTCTACCACTGAGCCATGATCCCAGCCTGGGATCCAAGAAATTTGAGGACACTAATTCTCTTATGTTAGACAAAGAGGCACTGAGATGTAGAATTTAAAACTAATAACAGTATTTTTATGTATAAAGATAACAAACAGAAGAACTGAAAAAAAATCAAAATAAAAAGGTTGAAAAGAAAAAAAAAAAGAGGAAAGGGAAGCCAAATTTCTCGTCCTTACCTTTCAGAGACGGCAGAAATAGATCTTTTTTTTTTTTTTTTAACTTGGGAGATCAAAAATATAGGAATAAACACATAATTTGCAGATATAGAGGTAATCACTAAAAATAACTAAAATGGCCTCTAGAGAATGAGACTGGGAAGTCAGGGATGGGGGTAAGGAAGAGACTTTTGCTAGTGTTGTTTTGTTTGTTTGTTAAAGAGAATGAAAGGAAACATACCTTCACACCTTAGTAGGAGTATAGCAGAGTGATACAATTATCAATGGATTTAATTTTCTTCCTATTTCCAAATTTTCTATAACAACCACCCATTATTTTCATTATCAGAAACATATGCACAATTGTATTGATTAGGAACAAGAAATATTATGGTTGTTTAATGATTTACCAAGTTCTTTCTACTCTTTGCCCTTGATCTTTGATTTATTAGAGGAGCTTCAACTAAAGAGTTTACTAAACTCAACTTTTTGTTTTTTTCCTTTCAGCACTGTGGACTGAACCCAAGGCCTCACCCACACTAGGCAAGTGCTCTACCACTGAGCTACATGCCCAACCCTTTTTATTTTTGAGACAGGGACAAACTAAGTTGCCCATGCTAGCCTCAAAATTTTGATCCTCCTGACTCAGGCTCCCAAGTACATGGGATTACAGGTGTGTGCTACCATGCATGATATCTAAACTCAATTTTCTAAGGAGATACAATTCTATTGGTATCTAAAAAGAAGGGAGTATTGTTTACCATATTTGATATCTCTCCATCTCTGCAAGGTAGTCCTTCTCCCAGTGTTTTATGAATGAAAAATCACTCTGGTTGAATCTTCTACTCATTACAGAGAGTATCTACTTTCACCACTTCCCTAGCAGACAATGTGTAACTTCAGCTTCAATATTTTCAGGGACTATATCCCTCAGCTGCCCATTCTATTATCAATTATTTTTATTAGAAAAAGTTTTGGGAGCCGGGCGCAGTGTTACATGCTTATAATCCCAGCAGTTTGGGAAGCTGAGGCAGGAGGATGGAAAGTTCAAAATCAGCCTCTGCAAAAGCAAAGGCACTAAGCAACTCAGTGAGACCCTGTCTCTAAATAAAATACAAAATAGGGCTGAGAATGTGGCTCAGTGGTAAGTGCCCCTGAATTCAATCCTCAGTATTCTCCCCACCTCCCAAAAAAGAGCTGGGAATGTGGTTAAGCATCTCTGGGTTCAATCCCTAGTACCAAAAAAGAAAAGACAAGGAAAAGCTTTAGGATATTTAGTCAAAATCTACTTCCCTAGAACAAACCCCTCTCATTTATCTTGGTCCTGCTTTCTGAAACTTTTCAGAACAAGTTAGACAATCTTCTATGTAATGCTTCTGCAAATACTTGAAGATGATTCTCAGATCTCACTGGCTCAACATCAAGTCCATTTTTTGCTGCACATCTTGCTCTTGACCTCAGAACTTCCACAGCTGCCATTATTCATTTTTACATTCAATTACCTATTGTGTTCTGGGTCCTATACTTAGGATGTACCTTTAAGCAAACCAACTGGGAGAGTCACTTACAGGTAGGTCAAGCAAGATGACTAATTCTAGTTGAGATAAACAACACACTAATGACCAAACAACTGCAATATCAATTCAGGAGAGTCAGAGAGAAAAAAAAAAAAAAAAAAAAAAAAAGGCAGGTAGGAGAGGAAGCTGAGAAGAACAAAAAAAAAAGGTGGGGGGAACCCAAGTTGAAGACTGAGCCTAGGAGAAAGTTCTCATAGAAGAATTTACTTTATGAGGAACTACACTTCAAATTATTTCAGAGGCAAAATCAATCATTTGAACATTTTAAGAATAAACTAATGTATGCTTGTCACACTCAGAGTAGAGGATGAAAATTAAAACATTAATTATAAATGGATTTCCTGAGACTGTGAGTTAGGGTGGGTTATTATAACTAGAAAAAAAAAGGTTAAGACATTGCTTTTTATTTTCTCTGTAGAAATTGTGCTTAAACAATGGGGTATATAAAATGGAATAATTTTCAGCCATAAAAGAAATAAAGTATTGATACATGCTACAGTAAAAAGGGTGAACTTTGATGACATCTGTTGAGTGAAAGAAGTCAATTATAATAGACCATTCATATGAAATATGTAGAATGAGGAAATCTTTAGAGATACAAAGTAGATTAGTGGTTGTTTAAGGCTAAGTGGGAGGAGGAGATAAGGGCTAATGGATTTCTTTTTGAAGGACTAAAAATGTTCTAAAATTGACTGTGGTGATACTTGTGTATATCTGTGACCATACTTAAAAAATTGAATTATTTAAATGTGAGAATTGTATGGTATGTATTCTTTAAAAAGGTATTCTTTAAAAATGAACTAATAAATTTTATTAAGGTGAGGTACTGGTTTGCTCATTACCCAGCCTCTTCTTGAAAGCTCCAGAAAAATGATAGAAAACCACTCAATTGATTGACTGTAATCGCAAGTTCTATTTCCAAGGGTGCTGAGGCATGTTTTTCAATGTTCAGAATGTTAAACTCTAAAGTTTAACACAGTCCTGACTCAGCTCCTGCTCCCAGGTGCATTTAATATCAACTTTCAACAAGTTTTGAATTCAACCTGAATGTTCAATATATTCTGGGTTCTGTACTTGGGCCAACAAGGAGACAGTGATGCTACACCAAGCTCTCATAGACAGAGACTGACAAAACCCACTACCAGCCCACCCTGGTTTTAATGTGAATCCTACCTTCCTTTCAAGTTTCTGGTTACTGAAGGTCTACGTATGTTCATAGAACAACAGAATCAAATTTGCCCTGTCTAAAAAACTGTTTAAAGATTAATACAGGTAGAAAAAAAAACTAACAAAAGGAAGCAGATGGTAGATTTTATGAAGTAACTTCACAACTTTAGTTGAAGGCCTTAGCTCTGTAAGATCCCTTCCTGACTTAGTCCTGGACTCTCTAGCATAGCTCCTGTCCTTTGCATTATTTCCCTACTCAGGCTTGTTACCAGGCACACTAAGCCTTCCTCTTTCCACTGTGAATGATCATCCTGATTCATGGAATACTCTGGGAAAATGGAAAATCTATTTCAAATCCAAGTTTTGTGAATGAGTGATGGTTGGATTGCCTGTATGGTACAGAAGTCATAGCCGGTGGTTCATTCTCACCTCATGGTAGGTGAAACTGAATTATAGTCTCCTGATTTATTAGAACAGCTTAAAGACAGATGATCTAGTGTTCACTTCTCAAGTACCAAAAGGAGAATAACAATTTGACTGTCCCACTACTTGTCATTTGTTTTTAGGGAGCCTAATACCCACAAGAATGAAGAATCACTAATTTTATGCAAAAATCAAAGCTACTTTGACTAAGAAATATGACAAGAGGCCAGTGAGACATAGGTTACACCCAGAGGATGACTGTACCTGAGACAGCAGCACCTGGAAAATCTTTTTTTTTTTTTAAAGAGGTGGGGGCGGGGAGAGAGAATTATTATTATTATTATTATTTTAGATTTCGGCGGACACAACATCTTTGTTTTTTTTTTGTTGTTGTTGTTGTTTTTGTATGTGGTGCTGAGGATCGAACCTGAGCCGCACGCATGCCAGGGAAGAGGACCCTTAGAAGATGTCTCTATTCTGTTTTTAGAGTTGAAAATAGTGGGTTACTGTACCTGCTTAGCAAGGTAGAATTTGGTTATAGGAGATCTCTTGGTCCTAGATTTATATACATGGAGAAGTTGCCATGGGGCCAGGAGCCAAAGGAAACCCAAAGGAATCCACACCAGAACAGTTTGTTCAAAACATAGCGGCAGGTCTGCCTCCGGACTTTCCAGGAATGAGGAATTCTGGGGAGGACCAAAAGGGAAGGTTATTGGATACATGCACTTTTGAAGACAAGCCCTTCCCCGCAAACACTTGCTTCCAAACAATTTTATTTCAACCCCATATTCATATTCAGCTTTACCCTTTAACTATCTTGTATTTTCCTGTTTATCCCGATTGATACAAATTCACCATTTAATGACATTTACTGAGTTTTCTAGTCAACCCAAACTCTAAAAACCTATTTTCTTTTGAATTTCTATAATAGCTATTCTGAGTAAAACTCAACACAACATTTGACAAATTATAGGAAGAAGAGGGACTATTCCTTAATCCAAAGGGGAGAATAGATCCCTGGGTATAAAAGTGTTTTCTTATTTAGTTTCTAGCCCTAGTTGAACTCACTGACAAATGGTCAAACATGCAGACATCAGATAGGCAGAATGCTTAGTCATACTGACATTTGATTTACAATAGCTCAGAAGGCTTATATCAAAACCAAGCATTCCTGGCCAATTTCAGCACAGGAAGGACAATGGCACTATTGGACAGAAACTCACTTTGCCAGCAACTTTTGTACTAGTCTCTGCATTCTGTAATAAAGTGTCTTGTGTAGGTACAACATCAGGTCTTATATCTGAGTCTCTTCCTGTAAATATTTTTTTAAATTTTTTTCATATGACTATTGGTAGTGCCTTGATAAGATGATTTGGCAGATAATTCTTATTCTTAGAATTTTCAAGAGATGGCCTGTCAAGATAGTGGGGCCTATTAAGCCCCACCTTCCAATGGTATCCTGTCCTGGCCTTGAGGGCTTTGGGGCCCAGCTTATTCCTACCATATGAAGAGCTGCTCATGTGCTTTACTATCTCATTCCTGCTCCTATGATCTCTATGCAATGTTGTCATCCACCTTCAGAATTCTGAAGATTCCTCTAAGATATTTAAACTATGTCAATCACCCTAATTGACTCCAGGATTTTCAGATGACAAAATCACTAGGTCCAAGGTCCTTTCTCATTTTCTGTTATACTAAGCCATTTGGTACTGTTGATTATTCTCTGTTTGGAAACTCTCTGCTTTCTGTGGTTCCATGATGGAAACTATGCTTGTTCATTCTCTAAATACCTGACCTCTCCATCAGTGCTGTTTCTTTCTTCCCATCTCTAAAAACAAGATTGTCCAATTCTAATGGTTCATAAGTTATCACAGTTCTCATATTGCCCAAATTTGCATCCCTGGTCTCAGTTTCTAGTCCATACTACTAGTTGCCATTTCATCTAGAACATATTATCATTTCATCACTAACATATCTCAACAAGACTCAATTGAGGACCCTCTACCCCACAAAGTAAACAACAATTCCCATTCCTAATGCTGAAGAAATTGGAATTTTTTTCTCTATTTCTCCGCAGTTAACTTGTCCAAAAAACAAAAAACGAGTCTGGGACACAATAAGCATTTGTTAAAAAGAATAAATCATATTACCTTTCCTAAATGATATATCTTCTAGAGATATTATGAATATCAGGCTTTTAAAAAATCTGAGTTTTAGATCAACTGCACTTATGACTTTTCTGGTTCTTTTTGGTGGCCACTCTCAATGTATCACTTGTTCTAAGTTTAAGAAAGTAAACAGGATAAATGTGATTTCTCACCCAAAAAGTAGAGTTGCAGAAGTTTTCCACCATGATCCCTGGAGTACTTCTGGAGTGAAAACTTCTCACTGACTACTCTTGTTTCTTGTTTTCCTCAGAGAAGGCAGATGAGAAGCGGCAATGTGTTATTTCCCATTCTGATGTCCCGATCTTCCAAATAAAGGCAGGTATCCTGACCTTTCATCCCAACAACTTAATAGTTAACCCTGCCTGGATGCATGCTTACCTCATTCCAGTAGATAGACATGTGACAGATAGACTCACCAGTTCTCAAAGTTGCCAGAGCCTCTGTATCCTGACCATATACAAAAGAAACCATGGAAATATTCCAGCAGAGCCAGCCAGCACATCAAGAGTACAATATATTTTCATTCTCCTGAGGACACACATGGCCTACAAGGGGCAGCATCAATAGAGGGACATACATCCCTAAAAGTGCAGCTTTACTTCTGTTTGAAGTTTTCAGAGTTTATAGACATGTGAAATATGTACTCCTCTGTATTTTTTATGAAGAACACAGAACCTAAAACATGATTAAAAATAGAATAAACTATTTTTTAAATCGGTTTATAAAATAGCACACCCAGTGTGAAAAAATATGTAATCATGTGTTTATGCAACAAAAATTTCACCTTCACTGGTTGGATTGCAGGTGATTTTTTATTTTCTGTTTTACTTGTCTGTGTTTTCTGGGTTTTATTTTTCATAATTTCCGGATATTATTTGTGTAGTAATATTTAGGCAATTTTGTGGTAAAAAATATATAACATAAAATATTAACCATTTCTAAGTATATAGTTCAGCAGTGTTAAATGTATTATACTGTAATTTATCCAATCCCCAAAAGTTTTCACGATGCAAAACTGAAACTCCCTGCCCATTAAACAACTCCCTTTCCTTTCTTCTCTCCAGTAAAACACATGTTATTCTAATACAGGGCATTGTAAATTAACAGCAGCCAGACATGCCTACCAACATATCAAAGTATCAATACCATAATTTGGAGGATCATGCAAAACCATTTTGGTTATAAACACAAATGCAAACATAGTCCTGAATCTGTGTAGTAGAATTTATTTATAAGGTCTTATTTATTTATCTATTTATTTATTTTGCCACTGAATTAACTTTATTATTCTCTTCTAACTGAAGATTCAAGGTATACAACTGAGCATTGTTATATTTTTATGAGGCATAAATAAAAATACAAAAAAATGTTCACTACAAAAAAATCTACTGTTAGTAGGATGTAAAAAATATTCTCTTTGCTATACAAGTACAAGGCACTTAGTGACACATGGAGAGAAAAACCTGCAGCAGTAAATTCATTTTTTTTCCTTTTTCTAGAACATAGATGAATTAGAAACACTGTAATATAGAGAATTTGATGCTTTGGGTATATACGTGACTGCATGACCAATGTAATTCTGCAACCTGTACACTCAGAAAAATGAGAAATTATATCCCATCTGATTCAAATGTATGATATGTCAATATCATTGTACTGTCATGTGTAACTAATTAAAACAAATTTAAAAAAAAAAGAAAAAATATAGAGCAATTTATGCTGTCCTGATGTAAGACAATCTACTATAAGGTCTCATTTAAATTATCAAAAATATGCTAGTTTTGGTAATATTATCATCAGAACAACCCTCTTTCCCAACCCCCGAAATCCTATAAAGAACTCAAGGGTATTAGAGAACAGGAAGAAACCTTTAACTCAAGAACTTATTCAAGCACAGTGCTTTTTTTCATGGTTCTTCTATATTAAACACAGGCTGGGGGTGTGGCTCAATGGTAGGATACTTGCTTGGTACATGTGAAGCCCTGGATTCCACCCCTAGCATGGAAAAATAAACATTAAATACAATAACTTCTGTTTGGAAAATACTAGAGTCTAGATAGGCAAAGTGTGACTAATTATTAAGAAGTGGTCTAGAAGGACAGACTTCAAATCATTTTTAAGAATACTAGGAAATAGAGGAATAATGATTTGCCAACCCCAACAAACCTCGATTACAAAAAAGATTACCTTAATGTGTGGTGCTCATATTCAAAACCATGTTAGAAGAATGGAATGGGAACATCTAGAGGCAAGACTTATTAATTCTCGGTGTTTTATCTCATGTTGAGATGAGAATAATACCAAACCCAATATAGGAAATCCAACTTTGGGTTCCTGTTGAGTGAATATGTCTGTAAATTCATTACTTTGTTCTGTGGACTGCTATAGATTGCATCTACACAGATTAATCAGCAAGGGAGTAATGTAGACTTTAATGTGTACATTCATGTTTTAATGTATGCTTTACTGCCAGGTCTAAGGTTAACCAGCACCTGTTTTGATCACCTTAAATTCATCAATAATAAAAATTTTTGCCACTAGTACCAGTGTATATTTTCTGAATTATTAACATCTGAATGGTGACATTTTGAAGTTTTTTTTTTTGGGGGGGGGGGAGTACCAAGGTTGAATCTAGGGGTTCTTAATGCTGAGCCACATTCCCAGCCCCTTTTATCTTTTATTTTGAGATAGGGTCTCACTGAGTTGCCTCGGGCCTGGATAAATTGCTAAAGCTAGTCTTGAACTTTTAATCCTCCTGCCTCACCCTCCCAAATTGCTGGAATTACAGCATGTGCCACCACAGTCAACTGAATAGTGACAATTTATTGGAACTTTCATTGTTATTTTCATATGAGACCATTTTCTTGTGAGATATCTGATGATACATTCCATAAGATAATTTTCAGTTTTAAACTTTCTTCAATGAGCATATATAATCCTATGGCATAGTTCTTCTAAGGAGATAATCTTAAGCTCGACCTTCACATTTTTCTATGCCTGTAAAAGTGTTTAAGTGATTTAGGCCTTAGGATGAGGTAATGGTCAAATATAGCCATATATATGACTATAGGGGGTCAGATGTAATCATGACATCTATATAGTTCCAAATAGAAAGGAAGTCATTACCAGACATTGTAAATATGATGTGATAACAAAATATCAAGGATCAAGGAGAAGAGTGACTCTTAAGTATACAGTGTGGCATGAGTCACTGCAAACTGTCTTTGGCCTAATCATGTATACTGTCACTTATATTGCTGTAAGAACCAAACATTATGAGCCAAGTGATATAATGAAAAAGGAGTACATACTACCACCAATGAAGTATCCTAGTTAAAAGACAGAAACTAAATCTGGTCAAACTCTAGATCTAACTCCCACAGGAATGTCCTAAATGACCCCATGGGATTCTATGATGTAAATGATTCCACTTTCCCCCCCACTTTCTATTTTTTTGTGGTGCTAGAAATTATACCAAGGGCCTTGTGCACACTAAGCAAACATTCTACAACTGAGCTACATCCCCAGACCCCCCCCCCCCCATTTCTTAATAAATCAACTAAAGGAAGAAAACGAATGGAACAGGGGCCGGGGTTGTGGCTCAGTGATAGAGCATTTGCCTAGCATACATGAGGCACTGGGTTCAATCCGCGGCACCACATAAAAATAAACATAATAAATGTATCATGTCCATCTACAACTAAAAAAAATTTTTAAAAAGAAAAGAAAATGAATGGAACAAATAGGTTAAAAGAGGATCAAGGGACTTATAAGCAATATGTGAACTGTATGGACCCCGGAACTGATTTTACCAACTATCTAAAGCAAAGGAAACTAATAAAATTGAGGACAACCTACAAAATGGGAGAAAATATTTGTAAACTATATATCAGATAAGGGGTTAATGTCTAAAATATATAAGGAATTTATACATCTTATACAGCTTAAAATTTATACAGGAATTTCAACAGCAAAAAACAATCCAATTACAAATGTACAAAGGACTTGAGAGACACTTCTCCAAAAAAACACATAAATATGGCCAATAGGTATACAAAAGAATGCTCAAAGTCACAAGTTATTAAGAAAATGCAAATCAAAATCACAACGAAATATCACCTATTAGGATTGTTACTATTAAAAATGCAAAAGATAGTATTGAGGATGTAGCTCGGTGGTAGAGCTTGTGGAAGCATGCAGGAGGCCCTGGGCTCAATCTCCAGCACCACACACACACACACACACACACACACACACACACACACACACAAAATCAATAGTCTAAACACAGTTGACAGAGGAATACTACTCAGCTCTAAAAAGAAATGAGCTATCAAACCATGAAAAAATATGTAGGAAACTTATATGTATATTGCTAAATTAAACAAGTCAATCTGAAAAGACTACCTTCTATAGAATTTTTAGGGAAGTAAAATTATGTTTTCTGATACTATTATGGTGGATACATCTCATAATAAATTTGTCCAAACCCACAGATTATAATAAACCAAGAATGAACTTAAATGTAAACTATGCTTTAGGTGACAATATTATGTCAATGTCAATTGAAACAAGTGGAGCACCTTGGTGAGGGATGTTGAAACTGATAAAGGGCAGGCTGTGCATGTGTTGGGGCAGGGGGTTTACTGGAAATTCCTGTACCTTCAGCTCAATTTTGCTGAGAATGCAAGTTGCTCTAAGAGTTAAAATTTGTTTTTAAAAAATAAATAAATAAACAAATAAATAAATAATGGAAATCTTAAAAAAAAAATCCAGTGGCAGAACAGGATGTGTGGCTCCTTCTTGATAAAAAATTTATTTATTTACATTTATAGATTAAAAACTATAAATGTTTATACAAATGAACTGATAATAGTGGTTATCTTTGGGGTGCAAGACACTTTCAATTTATACATTAGGTACTGGAAAGCAAGGAATGAATATCAATCAAACTCCTAAGGCCAAAAATAGGTTCTAAAAGAACTTACAAAAGTTGCTGCAGAACCTTTATCTGCAGTCCTTTTGAATTACTGAGAATAGTAGAAGTATTGAAAGACTTTAATTGGGCAAATGCCTTAATATTTGAATCATAAATTTTTAAAATATTTTTAATATTTGTAATAGGATAGGAAGATGCTGAAAAATCACAGATAAGAAAGATTACCTACTAGAAAGATCTGGAAAGATTTATTGATACAAAATGGTTTTTGATTTTTAAAAG